TTGGAGGGGACGCGGCTGCCAGCAAGTGAATTGGCATAGAGGCTAACACGCTCTGAATCAATACCACCCTGCCCCCTGGCGATAAAATCTGGTTCTTCCAACTCAAAATCCGATTTGTCACCGCATTCCACCTATCTATTATTTTAAATCCTTTTATGTGCTCCTATGTTGTTTTATATGTGATTGCATGTTTTGAGTACTTTTTCTTTTATTTACTCATTTTATTCATTTTAAATTTCATTTATTTTATTTAATTTTTATAATTATTTAGGAGGCATTTAAAAGTCAAATTGTAATAGATAGGTGTCCAAAAAATGTATTTAGTTGGATCATGTAATAGATAAATTATATTTTTGTCAAAAATAAATTAGTTAGATGAATGTAATAGTTAGGTTTATTATTTCCAAAAGTTCCCTTCTAGATTATAGTTAGGGCCCCCAATGTAATAGTTAGATTTTATTTGCTTATTTGCTTGCATGCTTGTGTGCTTATTATTTTTTTTTTGTTTTTTTCTAGGGTTTTGCATCTAGATATTATGTCTATGTGTTATGTGCTTTATGTTTTTATTTGCTTTAATTATGATTTATTTGCTTTATTTATTTATAATAAATGCATGACGTCGCCACACTAGTCCAATACTAGTTGTAGCGTTTCTCCCCAATTTCTCACTATTCAAATGCTAGTGAAAACTTATAGACATGGGTTAGTCCAATACCAGATCGTTAGAACTGCCTACGCGCTAGCATCATATTTTTACATGACATTTATTCCATTTCATGCATATTTTCATTTTAGGATCTTTTTCTCATCTTGCATGGTATTTTTCCTACTATTATTCCCTTATCATTTGTATGTTTGGACCATACCATTTAGAATTGCACTTCATTTTAGGAAATTAGAAATAATTAATCCATTTGCTTGACTAGGTTAGGAGAGTCACCCTTCAAATATGGAAAATGAACAAGTATGACTCCTTAGTCTTAGCATGCTCTTATCTCTTCTATCAGAAGGAAAATTTGAGTCACGAATTTTAACATCCTGTACCCGTTATATTGCATTTCCCTTTTCTAGGTCATGTATATTTATCTATTATAATTTCGTTTTTTGAGTCTCATCTTTTGTATTTTTCGTGACCTCTTCTAAGGATCATTTTTGGGCATTATAATTAATATGATTTGCACCAATTGAACTTTGAAGAGACATTTCGACCTTCCCGATATCCTTTAGGTCTAAACTTGCATCCGTATAGAAAATATCCAAATGTGATAAGTTTTATAAGTTAGATTAGGAAAATTTTTGACTAAATCTCATAATTAACTTTTGTTAGGTTGAAAGAGTGCCTTAGGTTTGAGTCTATCAAATCTTTGCCTTCCGTTTTTTCAACCGTAACCCCCGAATTCTTTTATTTTGTTTTCAAAAATTTGAAGTCATCTAAAAAGGGTTTATTTATAGTATTATTTAAAAATATATTTTGGGTGACTTGGTATACCTAAATTCAATACCAAATGACGACTCCTATTTTTCTTTAAAAACCTTTTTTAGACTATTATTTTGGATCCAAACCATCACATATTTTAAGTCCCATTTTTAGGCCCTTCTTTTTTCTTTATTTTGTAAAAACATAAATTCATTTTTTAACACCATTAGTTTATTTTCAAAAAATGGGGCCGCGACACAATCCATAGAAATGTAATGTTTATCATTTAAAGCATAAAAATGCATATTTTCACTAGAAACTTAGTTAATTAACTATAAAAGTAAATAAAACACACCAAAATTAAATAATAAAACATATCTAAATCAGACAAAATACAAATTTATTAGTTTCCTTTAATTTGTTGATTGTTTAAATAGTAGAGGAGTTTTAGGAGTGCCAGTAGTTGTCCATTCTTCCTTGTGAGTTCGACTCTTAATATCCTATACTCAATCTCGACCTGTATACTTGAAAAAAATCACGTGTGGGATATTTACTGTGAAATGAATTTAATTGTTTAATTGTTATATGCACACCCCACGCTCATCAGGAAGGATTTGCCTCTTAAAAAAAAAAAAAAGATAGAAGATGTTAAACATTTTAGAATCGTGCATATACCATGGTGAGCTACATGATATTATGAATTCATCACACTAATAATTGAGTTTGCTTTAGATTCAAACCTGTTTAATCAAGAACGAAGGTGTGAATAATCTAATCCATGAATCTTAGCACGCTCCACAAAAAACATTGCAACCTAGTTTATCAAACATCGTCTTTAATGGCCATTTGGACTATTGGCCATTACCATAATCTTTAAGATTTTGGTATGAAAGGTTAAAGGTTCAAATCTTACCTCCCACCACTTGCCACTATATGTGGATTGTCACTTTAAATGACTTAAATCCATACAGGTGCGTAGTGCAGCCGTCTGATTCGATGGTAGTTCAATCTCCGTCAGTTCCACAAGAGCAACCGTGCGTGTAGAAAGCATTTTTAATATGCTATTAATTAAACATATCAAAATAGCCCTAATTAACTGTAGACCAATATTTATCAATTAGATGGATGACCTAAGACGCTGGCTGGATTTAATACAATATTTCTCTAATTTCGAGTTCTATCTTTTTTTTTAAATGGGAGATTTTGAATTTGAAACCTCTCACTTACACTCTCTCTTCCAATATTATCCAATTCATCATTTCTCCTAAATCATTGTTTTTCTACATCAAGTTTAAATTAAGGCTTAAAAAAAAAGTGGAAAATTAACATCGAAACGCCGTCATAATAACAATTCTTAGGCTTTCATAAATATTACGGGTGGATGTGAAGTCCCCAGGAGAATTTCTCCTTTCACTCACGGCGGGTTGTTCACTCAGAAACAACAAATATTGGCCAAAGACGAAGAGAGCACCAAAAATTTTCACTAAATTGGACTTGACCATATGCAATTCACTATTCTTTTCTATAAGACTGGCTCAATTCACAATTTGCATGAGTCACTGACTGGCTCACCAACATAATTTATCTTTCCATATGGAAAGCAAGCAATCAGAAAATCCAAGTTTACGCGCCATGTCTATTTTTTACGTTCTTTGATGTACCTTCTAGCTAATTCAGGGACCACATTTTGTAGAATTAGATGGTCAATATTTGGCCAAAAGAAAAAATTGTAAGTCTCATGTAACGTGGTGTACGTTGCTTTAACTTTATATGTGAAGCTCCACAAAAAAATTTCAAATCTTACCTGCGCTTTACCCATTTTTGTATATTTCATATACCGTTTAACATCTAGAAAATATAAAGAATTGCTACTTGACAATGGGACGGGCAGGTTGGAGTTGATTGATGGATACCATCACATTCTCAGTCTTGACTAAGATGCCTGTGGGAGATAGCTTGTGAGAATGCGCGCTGTACCTAACAACTTTAGTTGGGGTCTTTCTTGCTATACCTTGGGACATGTTTAAAACGAGTTTTCAAAGTGCATTGCTTCCGAAATAATTTCTTTTCATGTATTTATGGGCAGGATTATGGAGTAAATATTGCCCAATTTAAAGTTGACGTTTGATAGTATGCTTTTTCCATTGGCTAAGCGGCTGCTTCTAAACTTAGGTTTTTTGATACTAGCAGGTAAAGGTGTTCAAACTACAAGAAAAATCAAAACACTAGCCAACTGAAAATAGATCTAATATCGAATATCAATAATACGGATATTCATAAAATCATTTGATATTCAATCTTAAAAGTTTGGTAACATATTTTGGGAATAGTTATTAAAAATTGATTCCTACTTATTGACTGGAGTACCAAATTTTATTTTTCTAATAATATATTATATTTATTATGTACCTACTAATACACTATAATATATAGTAATGTATTAGTAAATAGTATTATATGTTATAATTTATGATTCTACAGGATTAACTAGTTCATTAAGATAAATTTTATGTATAAACCTTTGGTAGTCTCTAATTTGAAATGCTGTTTATGTATCATAAGAAATACTAGAATATTTCAAAATTTTTCAATACAAAATGTACTTGACATTGTTATTGATTAAAGAATAGGAACATGTGAAGCATATTAATTCACTTGTCAATAATTTTTGTGTTGTTGATTACACATCAAATATGCTTCATTAATCTAATTAATAAATCCATTTCAAAATTTGGATGTTGCCAAAATACATTGCTAAAATTCATTAGTGATCCGTTTTTCATGTTAGTGACATCAAAACCATAGGCAGCCTTCCATGGATACCAAAGGGTCTCAAAGGAAGGAAGGAAGGAAGATACATACAACACCTATGGATTGCTGTAACATAGGAAAAGCAACTACAGTGAACTGAAAAACTAGCTATTAATTAAATGAATAACTTGCTTTTTACCCTCTTGCAATTTGGCACTTTACCACAAAACTTTGCTAAGATTTAAAAATTTACATGTAACCCTCTCATAATTTGGGTTAAATTGTCACCATTTAATTTTTCATTAAAACTAGCGGTCAATATTTAAGAGTCAATATCAAACGAATAAATTGATAAATTCAACATTTCACTACTTTTTTTCCCAAATACAAAAAAACAAGAAAGAGAAATAATAAACAGGTAAATAAGAAAGAGGAAATACCAAAACTTTAATAACTGCTAATATCATTATAGGCTCCTAAACCAAATATTTAATAACTAAAAATCTTTAATGTTATTTTCTATTTTTTATGTTCCTTTCTCCCTTTTGCATTTGGAAAATTAAAATTTATTAAAATTTAGTAGGCCAAAATATAGCTTTTTAAAATCAAGTCTTTTCTTTCCAAAGAAAAGAACAAAAAAAAAAACCAAAAAATTTGTGAAAGGGTGAATTTGTCAATTTATTTATTTGACTTTGATTTTTTAATGTTGACTATTAGTTTTAACAGAAAAAATAACACTAACACTTAATTCCAAATCATAAGGAGGTTATATATAAAATTTTAAACTACACTAAAAAAAAGTTTTTAAACCATAGGATGGTTATATAGTAAGGTACCAAACAACATAAGTGTAAGAGGTAATTTACCCTAATTAAATTAACATGTAATTAACTTGTGCCGCCCCCGCAAGAACCCCACTTTGGGAGTTGTTCACATCTCAAATGTATGTTTTTCCTTTTTCTGATTGTTGAATTTAGCTTCTTATGAAGGAAATGAGCTGAATGAAGTCTTTTAACAAGATTCTTCTGACTGATGCTGAAATCATTGTCCATCTGCGAAATAAAGGAAGGTTCAGTCAGATAATTCGTCAAGAAATTGAAGAATCTTTAAAAAAAACTATTGCAAAGCTTCGCTAATTTCTCAATATAACAGTATAAGTGAAGAACATAGAGCAGTTCTACGGTGAACAAAGACCTTTTTTATTCCTCCAGTTTTCTCATAAGACCTTTTTTCTTTTCTCAATATAAGGATTGAACAAAGACCTTTAATCAATGGATTGTAAACTGGGATTACCTCTGCAACAATGATAATCTCGTAAGTTATTCCCACAAATGGCATGATGTTACCACTAATTACAGTCAAGTTGAGCTTTTCAATCTCAGAAAGTATGTTTGCAAGGACATCTTTCTCTTTCTCACATCTGATTGTCAGAAGGATTTTCTTTTCATACATTCTGACTTCAATCTCAGGAAGCTGTTCGTCAGAGCAAACAGAAGAACTTTTAGTGATAGAACAACTGTGTTGTTCTTCATGAACCTGTGACTTCTTCATAACCACAGCTTGATTTGCATTATATTGCTTTAATTTGTTGTTCTCTTCTTTCAGCTGATTGATGTATTTGAGAGCTTCTCCCATGATTGAAATTCTGTCCGTCTGAAAAAATATGAAATTTTCTTAGTAAAACCTCCATGAAATTGGAAAAACAATGTGCAGAAAAATAACTTATTGGACATGAATATAGCACAGTGATAAAGTGCTTTTGTCAACTCCTCGTCCTACAGAAAGGATTTCCTGTCGATTCTCAGAGTCTCAATTCCTAGAACTTAAAAGCATTTCCATTACTCTTCGCCTCTTTATGTTACGGTTCTCAATGAACAATAAAAGAAATAATTCAATTACCTTTGTGATGCCAGGAAGAAGTGTAGACAGGGCAATGAATTGCTTGTTAAGAGTCTCTCGCCGCCTCTTCTCCGCTAGCAAATTTTTCTTATATTGCAATCTCCTTGCTGCTAAACTAGGGATCTTATTCTTGTGATTTGATGTACATGGTGATTTATCATTAAGTTGTTCAGGCATAGATGATAAAGGGAGTATATCATCAATACGGTCGACACCTGAAGAAGAAGACTTACAAGGACCGGAAAGGTTTTCAGGAGTGAAGAAAGAATTGCCAGAAAAAAGCTGATCTAGAAAGGCTGGGAACAAATCCTTTTCTTCTAAAAAATAGTCTAGTTCACAATTATCACCTAAAGTAGCTTCTATGTCCTCTGGAGAAAAATCTGTGAAGGGATCCATACTCTTTTTTGCAAAATATTTCCCTGAGTTTTTCTTTGCGATTGTACCTTTTCGCAAGTAACACTACTCAGGGAATAGTGGTTTATATACTCACACCTGAGGTTTATGGAATCTGGATTTAAGATAAGGAGATGGGAGTTTAGACTGGAAATGAATAATTTAACTTAAGGTTTGTGTCAAAACTGAGTTGTACTGTAACTCTGTGCATGTGAATGGCACTGGGGAATTAATTCGGCCTGGATAGTTTAAAGTGGGCCACATGTTTGTATCTGGTAGTTAGGGATAAGAACAGTGTGGAAGGGTTGAGAGAGTTAGAAAAAAAAATCCAGATTAAAAAAATTGTCTGCTTCATTTACGAAACTATAAGTATTTTACTTTTTTAGCCCCCATTGAAATTTTATATTAGCTCCGCCACTGCTTTTGCAAGCATGGACATATAAAACATGGTCTAATTAGATTGTTGAGCACAGATGATAGCAATTCTGATGTAAGTAAGATTTGTGGTTAAGGTTTGTTGTATATAAACAAATAGTCTGATCATCATCTTTAGAGATGAGAATATAGACAAATGAGTTTGATTAAGTTAATTCATGAAATGACATGGCATTGGAAATTTGGAATCAATCTAATATCACTATTTGGGTGAAATAATGTTTGCACATTGATCTACTAATCCCATTGCAGTTGGGATAAAACAACCAGATGAGAATGGTTGGAAGATGGGACGAAAGGAGTATAGACCTCATGATGTAATTTTCTTCCCTAAATATTCAAATACCTACTGTAAACATGATTTAATGCAAAACCTATATCGGTTTCTTTTCTTCCCACCTTTCTCATTGTTGACATATTAAATTAAGCAAAAAAAAAAAAAAGAAATTTCTACATTATTATTTAGCAGTGTTTTAATCAAGTTATGATTTTAGTAATTCAATTTGAGTCAAGTTATGGTAGTTTTATTATTTAAGAATTAATATTTTATTAGAAAATTTCTTATGATTATAAGACTTATTTATTAAGTGACGTAGTTTACAATTAGGGAGTCTTACTATTATATCAGTTAAGAAGACTGGAGCATTGAGAGCCTTGTCATTATGTATGATTAATGATATATTAATGATATTTATTCCTCTCTCTCCCACGCATACTTATTTGTGTGTAAATTGCCTTCCCATAGACATGGATTCTATAAAATATATCTCCTATATCTTTGGTGAAATTTTTTAGTTCTACATATGGTATTAGAATCCTAGGTTTGAGAAATTAATCTAGGGGTACCTGTGAGTATTGAAGAATTGTCCTGGCTACAAGGTTAGTCTTGAATATTTTCCGCCATCAGAGTTAGTATAAAAATTACTGCAAAGAAGTTATATTTTTAATGAAATTTTTAGTTTTACATATGGTATTAGAACCCTAGGTTCAACAAATTAATCTTGGGTGCTTGTGAATATTGAAAAATTGTCCAGACTATAAGGTTAGCCTTGAGCATTTTCAACTGTTAGAATTAGAGCACAAAAAGTACTATAAAGAAGTTAGTTGATTGAGTTAACTACAAAAATGGTCATGGAGTGTCCCGTTAGTGAACATTGGACAAGAAGATTGGTCCAAAAGAATTGTCAAATTGATAGTGGATATGAAGATAGAGATTGAAAAAAGTCCTATCAGTTGAGTCGTAATTACGAAAATCACAAAGTGATGAGAAGTGATGAGTTGTCAATAAATTGATATCAAATTATGTGATAAAAACAATCTATCCTGGTGCAAGGATTATTGCAACAGGAAAAGAGTTTGCAGATGATAAGTGACTAATTTGAGTTACATTTGAATGATATTTTATGTTATTTTTAGTCACTTTTGCAATGCTATAAGAAGAAAATGGATTATTTTGACTATAATTAGTTTAAAATGCTCTTAAGTGTTTAAATGAGGTTTATGTCTCTTTTTACTTGCATTTTGTCCATAATTTTTATAGGAATTGGAAATAGACTTTATATGGATGAAAAAGGAAAGTTGATAGTTTTGACACATTTTCGTATTTCAGCTATAATTTGAGTTACAATAATCGAATTGATATGATTCGTGAACCATGTTGAATATAAGAAATGGATCTACAATTCTTGTGAAGATATCAAAATCTAGTTTAAAGGTTTTCTAAGTCAAAAAGCTGAATTACAGTAGCCAATTTCTATGGTCGAAGCTGAAATGAGGCATTGAGTAGTGAAGGGCATTTCAGTCATTTCCAAGCCTACACAAATTCAAATGAGGTGATTCTTGATGTATTAGAAAGCTAACGCAAAGGGATACAAGTTTTGTATTTTGGTAAAGAGTTAATTCAATTTCTATCATTGAGAAAAGTTTAGTTGAATTTGAGGCAAAATTGGAGCAACATTGAAGACTGAACAGATATTGAAAAGAAAAGCAGGGGAGCAATCGGATGACAATCCGACCAGATTATGGCCGGATTATTGGCAGGAATCTTGTCAGAAATGGCTACTGTTAGTCCCACAGACAACCAAGAGGGGGGGTGAATTGGTTTGATTAAAATCTTAACCAAGTTTATGCACTTTTTCTTTAATGAAAATTTACCTTCCTTTTTAGTAATGATCAACCAAGTAGATTAGAAGACAATAGCAATATTGATCAGAGAAGCAAGTATAGATAAGCAATGAAGATTTTATTAAACAGAAATGTAAAATAGAGAAACAAACCAAGTGTCTACCAAGCTTTACCCAAACTTGAAGACCAAACACTAGGAAGAGCAACTTCTCTTTGATGAACGAAGATCAACTAGATGTACAATGGAGGGAGCACTTCCTCCTTGCCCTAAGCCTCACTTAGTCAAGCTAGGAAGTTTTACAATCACTCAAAAACCCTCAACAAAGCTACACTAAAGATCCTTTCAACCACAAAAGAAATGCTCAACAGAAATTCACACCACTTTAAAACAAATCTGCTTTGGAGACTATTTTCTAGCTAAAATATCTCACTAGATCTTGTAAACAAAGTGTGCAAAAGTCTCTACTTCGTTTAGACCAGTTTGATTTTAAAGGGATCCAGAAATGGGCTTCATCAATGCTTCCAACGGATAGAAGGCAGCTGAAGAGTCAACTAGCCGTTGGGGCTGTCGGACGTCCGACGATCGAATCATCGTCCGAACCAATCGTCCGATGATAGCCAAGTTGAGGTTCGGACGTCCGATAAGTTCTTTGTCGTCCGACAGCACAGCGTCCGACCTTGGGCCGAGAGCTAGCAAGTTATCTTGGAATTTTTCGGACGTCCGATGCGGTTGATTAGCGTCCGATGGCAAGCGTCCGATCCTTCCGGACGTCCGATGCTTCCATGTGAGCGTCCGACGGTGCTTCCTTCCTGATGTTCTTTATCTTTTCGGACGTCCGACAGTTTCCTTTCGGCCGTCCGACCTGATTGTCCTGTTTTTGCTTCTCATTTTGGTTGTTTTACATTTCATGACATATTTGAACCTGATTCTTGGATAGACAAAAAACACTTGTATTTGAAGAAGGTTAGACAAATATTTCAAAGTACCAAGAATGACAAACTAGACATACTTAAAAGACAATATCTTTGATCGAAAACAAAACAATGACTAAATTCATTCATATTATTCCAATCTTGTTTGCCACATCCAAAGCAACGTAGTCAGGAGATAAACGAACATATGCTTTCTTTGTTCCAACAGACCTGATCAAAGTGTTCACTTTCTTGGTCTGTATAAACAAACTTTTGTGATCATCAAAACCAAGAATAACATTCTCCCCCTTTTTGATGATGACAAAACAAAAGTTTGAAATGAATTTGATTGATTGCTGATTGCAATGAAAGCTCCCCCTTTCTAAATAGACTAGAACTCCCCCTTTCTTAGTGAATCATAAAAAATTTGAAAACCTCCCCCTCACTAGGCTGCCCAACCGAGTTCCAAAACATGACAATTAAGCAACTCACAACCAACATATTACCAATTCAATCCATCATCAAAATCCAAATTTAATTAAACCATCAATCAATTCATCATATCCAACATTATCAATCATCAATCAGATCTCTCCCCCTTTTTGTCATCACAAAAGAGCAAACCAAAAACATCCATCTTATACACAAATACATCTTATCCAAAATGTAAACCAAAAACAATTCATTCCATTCACATAAACAGAATAAACAAACATCACCAGTACTTAAACATCACCAATAACTTCCATCAAGATACTTAGAAACATCACAGAACTTAAACATAAACAAGAATATCCATTATATTACACCACAGTACTTAGATCATCCATCAAAACACACCAAAAGAAACTTAGAATATCCATAACATAACATATTCTAAAAGAGACAAACAAAATGCAAATGTCCTAAATGATGATCTACGTGGATCCAGGTGTCCTCCGAGAAAGCTGATATTGGTCGAGATCCTCCTCTTCAGTGTCTTCATCATCTTCAGCAGCTTCTACAATTGGTGCCTTGCCTTTGTCTGATGTGGAAGGGCCATGAGGAGTCACAGGAGTTGCTGGATTCGGATCTGGAACTGATGAACCTGGATCAGTGGTTCGAGGTTCTTTGTCATGTGAGACTTCCTCAACCACAGGTGGAGGAAAAAGAAGATTCTTTTTGTCAAGAAAGGCAGTTTGTTGCTCAGAAGACATGGTGAGCATTAGGCCATGTTCTAGAAGAAGAACATGCTGTTTGAGTTCATGAAGAAGCTCAATTACTTCATTACTGGAAGAGGAAGATGCTTTAGTGGCAGATTTCCTAGGGTGAATGGGAGTGAGTGAAATGGGTGAAGGATCATGTACAGTCTTAGACCTCTGTTCACTAGATGATGCCCCCTTATATGCCCACAGATTATCTTTAAAAACAAGATTTTTTCTTTCAAAATATGCTCTGGTAAAGGCATAAGAAGATGCTTTTTGGACACACACCTAGAATTGGAACTTTGTAAAACTCAAAAATCTTTTGAAGAAACTTTCCATAGGAAAGTT